TTTTTTCAACGTTTTTTATTTATTTTTGGGACAGAGAGAGACAGAGCATGAATGGGGGAGGGGCAGAGAGAGAGGGAGACACAGAATCAGAAGCAGGCTCCAGGCTCTGAGCCATCAGCCCAGAGCCCGACGCGGGGCTCGAACTCACGGACTGCGAGATTGTGACCTGGCTGAAGTCGGACGCTTAACCGACTGCGCCACCCAGGCGCCCCTGGACAGCATTTTCAACAGCCCGGCTGGGAGGCTGAACACAGACAGATTTGTTACTGTTTTAACAAGTTGTCGGTCGGGCCCCAGGAAAATGCCAATAGGTGTATACAGGAGTGAACCCAGGTTTGGAGGACGCTTTCTCTTTAAGAGAGAAAAACCAATATGCCAGGGACCAGGAGGGCAGGGGCCCTGATCCTGAGCCTCATGGTTTCAGAGTAAACCCACCCCAGGTACCTGCGGTCTTGTTGGAGTCAGCAATGAAGATAGTGTGAAGCCTTGGAAGACACATCCAGCCCCACCTAGCCCTCCGGGTGAACACAAGCTCTAAGGAGCGGACAGACCACTTTATCCCCAGAGGTTCTAGTGCCCCCTGTGGGCCCTGCCGTGAGCATGGCTGGAGGGTTGTGATCAAGGAGGAAGAAATGAACAGTGACCTGGAGAGAGGAGGGAGAAGGAGGGGGGCACCTCTCCCCTCATGCTTGCGCCCCTGACCTTGAAAATCTCCAGCTCTGCCCTCAAACAGAATTCTCTGTGAGCCTGTAAGAGTTGTCTTGCGCTGATCCCTAAAATAGAATTTGCCCATTAGTTTTCAATAAAAAAGGCTTCCTGCAGGTCAACAGAGACAAGCAAATCTGATTTGCAATTTTATCTTTCCTTAGAGCTGAGGGCATTGTGTAGACAGAAGGTGGGAGGAATAGTGAGGGCTCCAAGAGGGAAGATGGAGAACAAGATTCCAGTACCCAGAAAAGCGCCTGCTCTCTGCAGCTCTGGGCACGGCTCTGGGGTCGCTAGCGGGCCTGCTCACAGGCTGCACTGAGCCCCGGGAAATGGAGGCAGTGCGGAGCTCAGCTGGCTGTAAGAATACCAAATGGAACGCGCCACAAAACACAAAACTTTCTTTGCAAAGCACAATATATCCAAAGCCCTAGGTCAGTTTCCAGAAGATGAATGTGATTAATCAGGAAGTTGCTCCTCCCCACCTCTGCCCTGTCAAGACGGAGCCGGTGTGCTGGACTGAAAGGACTGACCTGGAGAGCTTGAGCAGACCTGTGTGGACCAGCCTGCCCGCAGCCCCGCCCCCCGCCCCGCGTGCCCCTCAGCACCTCCCACCAGAAAGCCCCTCAGCACCGGGCTGAAACCCCCTGCAGGAGCGGCCCCGTGGGAAAACACCGCTATGGCAAAAACTGCCTGGTGGTGCTTGGGAGTACAGGAGGTGACTGTGACTGTGACCAGCCTTCCAGCCCATGCTCCAGGCTCTGGGTGTTTCTGAGCTCCCCGGACTGAGATGAAGGCTGAAACAAAAGTGAGGGTCTCCTTGCGATGGAATACTACTTGGCAATGAGAAAGAATGAAATCCTACCATTTGCAACAATGTGGATGGAACTGGAGAGTATTATGCTAAGTGAAATAAGTCAGAGAAAGGTATCATATGTTTCCACTCGGATGTGGAATTTGAGAAACTTAACCAAAGACCAAGGGGGAGGGACGGGAAAAAAATAGGTATAAACAGAGAGGGAGGGAGGCAAACCATAAGAG